ATGACCCACGTAACTTCAAATCTTATCACCACGCTATCGCCACATTAGCACTGCAAACCTTAGCAGTAATTCTACAGCAGTCGACAAGCCACATTAGCACTGCAAACCTTAGCAGTAATTCTACAGCAGTAGCCAACAGCCCCCCCCAACTACCCACCAAAACGTTTCACTTCTGGTTCCATTTTGAAATGGTTAGGGTCGTGGTTTTGTTTTAAAAACAAACATAGAGGACGCGATACCTAAAGACCTTCTAAGGTTAGGTTTTCTGTTTTGTGTTTCGCAAATACACTTCTACGGCTGGCAGTGCTATCGTGTCGGACAACTTGGCGATAAAGTTTTAAAGTCACGTGTTCAATAAAATTTTAGTGACATGAAATAACGACATCATAAAATTTACATGTATCAAGTACCAAAATACTTCAAACGATACTTGTAACGCTTATGAGGTCTGTATTTCATGTCATGATCCAATTTTGTACAATGAACGATTTCTTTGGTAAAGTTACAAAGTTTCGGAAAATTAAGAAGTGCACAGCATAGTCGATATAGCTATTAGCTACGGGCTGGACGAGTGAGGGGTCGGAGTTCGAGTCCCGGTAGGGTCAAGAATTTTCTACACGTTGTCCAGACCGGCTGTGGGGTCCACCCAACCTCCTAACCAATTGGTATTGGGGGCTCTTTCCCAGGCGGTAAAGCGGCCGGGGCATGCTCCCCACTCACATCCAGTTAGTGTCAAGGTAAAAAAAAAATGTGGATTTATATATCCACTCCCCCATACGCCTTCATCGTGTAGTGCTTAATTAGTTAAGCACAGTGAGAATTTTACCTTTACCTATGAAGTACATTACAGAAGGAGCCCTTATTGGACTGTCGCGGGCCAGCATCAAATAGGCCGAACTTTTCGTCGGGGAGACCAACACGACCCATCAATTAGGGGCTCTGCATAGAGGGCGTATGTATGCAGCCTTCTTAACATTTTGGGAGGTAAGCTGTACATTATAGGAGAAGGCGAGGGGACCCCGAACCTTCCTTCTTATAAGCAAACCTACTGAACCTAGCACCCTCGACTGCTGAAGTGGTTACAATGCAATTATAAAACTTCAGAAGGTAAATATATGTCAGGCAGCACTGCTAACAAGCATTAGCTTTGAAAAGAAATGAGAGCCGTCCAAAATCTTACACAATTTAATCCCTTTCGCAAGATCTGAGCCATAATGCTGCTGCTGTAACAGACAGATTTCATATAGAACTCATGAACTCTAAACTACAGTGAGGTTCTTACTTTTGTTGACCGATGCACGGCTCTGCGCTTCACGGCGACCGATGCACCGTCGGCTGCGACGAGGAGCATATGAATTTGACAGTGAATCAGTATGCCTGATGGCCGATAACGTTTGCAATTAAGAGAAATTATTAATATTGTGGACCTCTTAACGGCATTGTGTTGCACGGTGAGCAGTGTGGTTCATATGTGATATTTGTTTATGATATGTCAGCATAGGGTGGCAGTTATCAGCTCCATTAGCCGTTTGTTCTCATTTACAATTATTGAGCACTGTGTTCCGTCACTGTGCGGTATAATTTAGAGCAAAGTGTGTTTCTGTATGACACCTACGTGAAATATCACCGAAACGTTTAGATCAAGACACTGAAATGTTAAGGTAAAGGTATCCTTCTAACAGACCGTGAAAGTACATAGGGTTGTTAGACGTCGAGACTCCCGTACTTTATAGACAATCGCGTCACAGATGGCAGTAAGGTTGTCAGCTTTACGCGCCGGCCGCCCTGTACCCACCCAGAGATTCCTGGTACTCATTTCTGTTAGAGGCTGAGTCGACCCCCGGGGCATAGTGCGGCCCAGGGACATAGTGCGGGTGGAAGGATTAGGACAACTGAAAAAATTGAACACTGGAATTGAACCCGCGACCTTCCGGGTTGCAGCATAGTGCCTCAACCAACTACGTCACCGCGTGCTCCCGGCTCAAGAGACTGGAGTGTCTCAGAGTCTAATGCAACAAGGGCAACAAAATTGCTGAAGCTTAGAAGCTAACAAAACCACAGTATACCACGCACGCCTTGCAGCCGCGCGACCCAGCTAGTGCGACTCATTTTTGCAGTTGGTTTCTACATTCTATTGTCGAAGACGAGATCGCTCAGCAACTGACATTCTTTTCTGATAAAGCGAGTTACCACTTGCAGGGGCGAAATAATCGCTACTGGAGTTTACAAAATCCAAATCCATCTCACAAAATTCTGCTTCGTCCCGCGAAAGTTGGTGTCTGGTGTGCTGTAAGTGCAAGGAGGATTACTGGATTGTGTCTTTTAACGTAAGAGTTAATTGCGAAAGGTATATACAGGCAATTCTCGTGCAATTCTTTCCAGAGTTAACGGAAGAAAAAAAACTCTAAGGCTGCTTTCAGCAAAACTCAGTTACTGCTCATACTGGGCCGCGTAACAGCTCAAGCGGTTAGTCGCTGGCTTCCCACCGCGTCGGCCCGGGTTCTATCCCGGGTCTGGTCAAGTGGGATTTGTGGTGGACAAAGTGGCGCTGGGGCAGGTTTTCCCCGAGTACTTCGGTTTCCCCTGCCAATCTTCATTCCACCAATTGCTCCACAATCACCCTCACCTATCATCTGGGGCTGGTACAATACGCCAGAAGTAGCCGCAGTACAAGGGACTTAGTACCACCCCAGTAGAAATTAAAAAAAATACTGTTCATACTGCACGTACGTCTATGCAGGCTCTGTCCATTGTGATCGGGGACGTAAATATTAGTAGTGGTATTTGGCTAGCACGTTCACCCGATGTTGATCCTCGTACTTTTTTCTTCTGGGGTTGTCCGAAGGACAGCGTTTAGTACGGCAACCCCCAAACAGAAGAACTGAAAGAAAATGTTCGTAGGGAAACTGCAAATATTCCTCCAGAACAGCTTCAAAGGGTAAATCTGACCCTCTTCCGCCGATGCGAGTAAAGTCTATGTGTAGAGGGACAGCATTTTCAACACCTCCTGTAATCTGCATATCGTAACTACTTCATTCGAAATGTCATCGACCAACGGACATATTGATTCATCGGCAAAATTTGTATGCGCATCGCAGCCGACGGTCCACCGGTCGCCGTGAAGCGCAGAAACGTGAATCTGTCAACACAGGTAAGAACCTCCCTGTAATTGCTCCTCTATTGGAAGCAATAAAAAGTCGAGCACTGTATAATGATATTTAACAAAGGTACTTGCCTATGGAAGATTTTTTAGGTAATTTGATTTGTCTCATTCTGGTCCGTCACACTATTAATTACAAAGTGGATAATGTTCAGTCCAATGTGACATACAATGTCACACTGGACTGAAAATTACCCACTTGGTATTTTTTTTAGGTAATATATAGGTATCCCGGTCACGGTAGCCGTGCGTTCTAAGGCATGTACTGTCTTCGCTCGCTCGGAAGCCGGGATCATGGGTTCGAATCCCACCCAGGGCATGGGTGTTTGGTATGTGTACGTGTGTATTCTGCGTTTGTGTTGTCCTGTATTTAGATAGAGGCCTTGCGACGAGCTGATCACTCGTCCAAGGAGTCCTACCGTCTGTAAAATGATCATGAAACTGAAAATCAGAGGACACAGCCCAAGTAGGCTGTAGAGCCAGCAAAAAAAAAAAAAATAGGTATCTCATTCACTTAAATGATGTCTCCGTGCATAACGCTCTACAGTTCTCATAAAACGTAATTACTGAATTACAGTTACAGTAAGATGTAAGGCCGCGCCATAGCTCAAGTGGTTAGTGGCTGGCTTCCCATCGCGCCGGCCCGGGTTCGATCCCGGGTCTGGTCAAGTGGGATTTGTGGTGGACAAAGTGGCGCTGGGGCAGGTTTTCTTCGAGTACTTCGGTTTCCCCTGCCAATCTTCATTCCACCAACTGCTCCACAATCACCCTCACCTATCATCTGGGGCTGGTACAATAGGCCAGAAGTGGCCGCGGTACAAGGTACTTAGTCCCACCCCACTAGCAATAAAAAAAATACATCAGATGTAACATCAGACAAAACAAAATCACTGATATTTAAGTTCACCAAATTACATGCATGCCCATTAACACAGCCTGGATCCGTACAAGTTTCCTGAAATGTGTAATGTACAGACTCAGCAGAAAAATCAAAAGAGGGAGTTTATTTTCTTTTATCGTAGTAAAATGTGTATAAAACAAAAGTGAATGAAGCACACAAAATAAAACTGAACATGAGGCGAAAATTGTTTTTATGCATAAAATGCATTATACTATACCACAGAAGTAACGTGTAACCCGTTCCATGCTTCCTGAGATATTTCGTACAAAACCATTATATCTTATGACCTTGATTTATTTGCTGTTCGTAATCTATGAAAGCAAGTTCCCGGCTATTTACTGACTTCACCTTGCAAGTGGTGACTGACAAGTTCTTCGAAAAGTTTGCAACCATTATATTTGACTAAGAAGCAAATAAGGAAGGACGTGAAAATAAAAAGCCATGATCTAACTTAACGTACATACCATACCTACAGCTGGTGCCGAGGTCAAGAAAATGTGGATACACACATCCACTCCCCATACGCCTTAATGGCGTAGTGCTTAATTGGTTAAGCACAGGGACAACTTTACATTTCACCTTTACTATCCCATAATATGCTTGGAAGGGACTAAGATAACCCATAAAATCGTCTGTCCGCATAATCCGTCTCCGGGCCGAGAATCGAAACCCAAACCTCCTAAGTATGACACAAGAGTGGTAATCATGCACAGAGACTAATTACGAACTGATTTACCGCTGTAATACGGTTTTGTGAACTGCAATAAAATAAGTGTTGCACGGAAAATACAACGGAAAGTTCCAGCACAAAGGTATTAGGCATGGTGCGGAATACGTTTATTGCATGCCGGCTGGGACCCGGATCAGGTTTCGATTTGATCACAAGCCCTTGGACATAAAAACGGACGTTCTGATAACTACATTTATTGCATCACTTACCATTCGATACTTCGGTACCCCTTGGCACAGCAGTGAAGGCTCTTGAACTTCTGTTCTACAACGTATTCTCGCGAACTGAGTTCTTTTGTGAATTGCAACCACGTGGAGTTACGGTGAAATGTGTCCATCACGCAGAAGTCTTCATCCCCACTTACACCAGGCACACTGAACAGGTTTGTTATTGTTAATGTAAACACTATACAACGCACCCACATTGTCTTCGTTTCGGAGGATTCAGCCTTTGAAGCTATACTTGAAAATGACACCATTTTCACACTTGTTACTGTTTTCTAGTTACTAGAAAAGTATTATTTAACTTGTGTTCTAACCCAGTTCTCTGTAAGTTACTCCAGATTCACCAATTCTGCGGCGTGAGTTCTGATTAATTCAAAATGGGTAATAATTAAGCTGAACACCACGGTCATATCTTTTCAATACACTGACGTTTTCAAAGAAAACATAAGAATCGACTATACTGTTGTTTGGCGATAAAGAATGATGTGAGCAACACCTAGTGCCAAGTTATTAAATCAACAAGGGCCACGGACCTACCACACAGTGTAACTTGCACAGAAGCAATCACAGGGACAAGAACGGCCTCACTTCTCCGCCAGATATAGTTACTATGCGGAGTCAGCCGCACGGTTGCATCACGGGTACCACCTACCTCTACGTTCTACGTACAACTGCGCCATCTTATCGAACCTGAAATGCGTTTTCGAAACCGCACATCCCACTTCGCGGGAAAGGCTGTGACGTTCGGATACATTCGGCTATAATCGGTAAGAATCGGTAATGACGCACGTAAATAAAGATGAAAGATGTATGAGTAAAAGACAGTTGTTTACACATGCTTAGTTTGTTTCGTATTTGTATCTCTATTCTGTCCTCACGTTTTCATGTTTTATACCGTAAATATTTCTGCAAATGACAAGCCGCTTTCTTTGTGCAATTTTACCGCTTCGATTAATCTAAACCCCCATCGAACGGGTTGTCAAAGCTTCCCCTATGTATGGAATACATTATGAAGTGTTGTCTACTCAGCAGCAGAAGAGGCAGAGGTATGTAATAATTACACACGTTTTGTTCTGCAATAACAAATAGAATGAACGCATAATGCGGAGATAAAACCAGTCCATTGGCATAGTTCTCACAGCCGATCAACGAATATCGCCGAAAATGGATGCAGGGAGTTAACGTTAAAAGTTGCGAGACAACTTTAATTTTGGTCTCTCTTCTGTTACAAACATAATTTTATAAAATTTATCAACAACGACTCATCGCATAAATATCAATACAGGACGTGATGTAGATTTAGTTACAGTTTTACATATACAATTTTTGTAATATATACCGGTAACTGGATGGCCAGGGACTTGGTGTCCAATTCCCGGAAGAGATTTTTATCTTCTCCACAGCGTCATGACAGGCTCTGGGGCCCAGCCAGCCCCTGTCTAATGGCTACCGTGGCCCTTTCCTCGGGGATAAAGCAGTAGGAGCATGAAACTGACTACTCAGATCCGTCTAATGTCAAGGTTAAGAACAGCAGAGCTGTACCCTCATTCCCCCATACACCTTCATGGCGTGGTGCTTAATTAATGAAGCACAAGGAAAAATTTTCCTCTTCCTTTAAATTTACTGGCGTTATACAGTACATTTCATTAATCTGAGATAAAAACAATTTATTTGTATGTTCAGCTTCTTAACTTCACAGTCAATTGGTGGTTACTATTTTTTAAATTTAATTAAAAGACTTCATGATACAAGAGCCTTCTTTCAATTCTTGATAATTCTCAGTTGGTCAATCAGTTCTCTTCTTGTGCGGAAACAGAGTTCATCACCATATCCGCAATCATCCGTTCCTGGACCTTATTTTGAATAAGTTAGTTCAAATAAAATCTCTAAGATCCATTACCCGAAACTGAGGTAAGTTCAGTAGGCTTATTTTAAAACTGTGGGCGTTACCGATTTCAGTTAAACCTCACATATCACACACACACACCATTAGCAAGCCTCTGTCGTCGAACGTTACATCTGGCGAATGCTTGCGTCTTCTAATTTCCTATCTGAAAGCATAACGTTTAAAATGCTCTTACTTAAAATTTAATTGTACCGGTTCTGTATGAACGTGAAGCTCGGTCGCTCACCCTAAGACAGGATGTCAAACCATTTCGGTAACAGGTTCCTGAATTACAACAGAAGTTTCTTACTAATAAGGAGAAGGATGCGGATAAGAAGAAGAAGAAGAAGAAGAAGGAAAAGGAGATCGGAATGATGACATTTATCAAAAGGGAACAAATACTCTCGACAATAAAGATTTTTTTTTTCGGACAATCTGTTGAAGAGTTCAGTAAAAATGTCGCCTTTATAGGATAAATTGGATCAGGAACAATTAAAAATTACCAGAAGAGGAGGGTCTTATTCTCGACTAACGATAGTTTGAGTCACGAACTATACACAGTTACGTCCTAGACAGAAATTCCAATGTTCATCGACAAAGTAACACAAAGCGAAGCCACTTATTTTCTACAAAAATAATAAAAAACACGATGTTTCATAGGATTACTTAAAGACATTAATCCAAAACCGTGTATCCAGTTTCACACTATGATAACTACAGCAACAGATAAGGTAGGTTATGTAAGATACAGTTGCCAGTGAAGCAGCATCAGTTGCCCTTAATTTAATTTAAAATGATGAACAACTTCGTGGTCGTTACTCAGTATGTTAACAGTAGCAAAGGACTCTGTTCCGCTTAGGACTACATATATTCGAAAAGGATTCATGTTTCTTTTCCCTTCTTCAGACTCTCTCCTGTCTCTTCTTTAAAGGGCTGCAGATAATCGATAGATGCCAAGCTGTCAACAGCATCAAACGCTTCGTCTTAAGAAGCTCCACAAAGCAGCGTCTCTCCTGAGAATATGATTGCCGCTGGTCAAAGAATTTCCTATCATGTAAAGAAGAGGAATGTTCATTCCGTGCTTACATGAGACCATCACTGGAACCTATTATGAGCTAGGTGATTCTAACCCATACCCTCAACCCACATTTTGCTAAGATCTGTCTTAATATTTTTCACCAATTGACGTCTAGGTCTCACAAATTATTTCTTCTTTAAAATCTAAAATTTTGTATACATTTCTCGTTTCTTTCGTGTGTGTTACATGTTTCTTCAAAGTGGTCCTCCATGGTATGATTGTAACAGTAAAATTGTCCCTGTGTTTAATTAATTAGGGATTATGTTATGGAGACATACGGGGGAGTGGAGGTACAGCTCCAATTTTCTTCTCCTCGACACTAGATGAAAGTAAGTGGTCAGCTTCACGCCCTGCCCGATGTACCCCTGCTGAACGAGCCCCTGGGGGCGCTGGAATCTGTCTGGATACTGCGGAGAAACGAGATGTGATGACAGAAATGTTCAATGAAGAGCACAAATTATGAAATTCCTCTTTGTATAATTTTCTTCGTCGTCCAATTAATTATCTCCCTCTCTGATTCCCTCTTTTACGTAAAAGTTCTTCTTAGGATCGTTTTCTCAAACTTCCTACATCTATTTTTTTTCTCTTAGGGCAGGAATGAAGAACCACTAGCACCAGCTCCAAGTTTCAGAGACTTGAGATCTCCACTGGCGCCGGTAATTGTATATTTTATCTATTTTAACATCTGATGTCACTTGATAGTTAAATATTTCACCAAATAATAATTCGTTTTAGCCTACTTTACGTATTTCGAAAAAATGAAAGTAGGCTTATGCGATCTTCATGCTGTTTGTGTGTCTGTGTGCCTGTGAATTCCCCCAAACCCCATTAACTTTTTTGAACGCCTGAACCAGACTTTATGAAACGTGGTATGTATAAAATGGCACCTTAGCCCATTTCAGCTGTGTACGTCATAAATCCCTCCCATCAGACTGTGTATATATGTGTATTCCTTCTATTGTTGCCAAGCAAAGGCTCGATAAAATGTACCCCTCCTTTCATTTCTAGACAACGGCTCGGTAAGCATGTTCCCGCGGCAACGAATATGCGAAACAATAGGAGAATTGCTGGACGCGAGTGCCTTTGAGTCTGTCTGTGTATCCTCTTTTCACTGCTAGTTTGTTACGTAGCAGTCAAGACGTTCCCGCGGCAACGAAGAACTTTGAAGGAGTCGTTTTCTATGCGGTCCGTGTTGTATCAAAAGATTAGGCGATCAGTTCTTTCATTAACTCCTGGCTTGTAATATACATTCTTGCTTTTACTTTCTGATCCTCCCTAATACCAAGAAATGTGGTTATGCGAAAAAAAAAAACCTAGCTACAAAAACACACTGTTGTAGTACCCCTTAAATTAATTTGAACGTTAAAATACATTAAATCCCCCCTTCTAATATTTCATATGTAACGAATTCCAGTCGATTCCTGCAGACTCCATTTCCTCGCGTTACAAATTCTCTGTAATCACCACTTCTGAAGCCTCCTCATATTTCATTTTTCCATCTTGGATTCTGTGAATAGGACCTATTTCTGTTTTTCTTTTCACAGCCTAAATTATCCTATTACTTCTATTCGTCCGTAATTTCACAATGTTTTATTTTACCTGCATTGTCCTTTCGACTTCGTTTTATACTCCCTGTGATAAATAGGTAGCAATTTTCTTCTAACGATTTCAACGAAGTTATTTCTGTTTCATTGCTCAGAATTCTTCCCAACAAGTTACTATACTTTCAAATATTCCTCAATTTATTTCATTCCTGATGGAACAGTGCCTTCTAAATCAGACTGTACCTAAACCTTCTAAAGGGAAAATATCTTAGGTTGTTAGAATTTCCTAGAAACAGTAAACTGTGGTTGTTGTGCAATTTCCTGTGGGGGCCTTTTTTCTTTCTCTGTCTCTCTCCTCTCTCTTGTATATATTGTTTTTGTTTCTCTGCAGTTCCTTAATTCACACAATTTTCTCACTGATTACTTTAATAAATACAAGTAGGACTTCAAAATGATGGAGCGGAAATAACATTATGAAATTCACTAATGCCTTATTGAAGCTGACTGTTGCGTTATAGTTCACTTAAAATACCAATTTCTCGTCCATCTCTAGGCATCGCTTTCAGTGACGTTCTACGATTTTGTAATTTTATTTTATCATTCACAGTGTTATTATACAGTTCAGGCCACCATATTCAGCCCAGTTCTGTTATGGTTGTTGCCAGGTATTTTAATTTTGCTATACGATCAAACAATTTATAGTTGTTGTATTATTGTTTATTCTCAATTTCCTATTGCGATAAAATAATAGGCCAGAGTAAGAATTATTTTTATAGCATCGAATATGTTTGTGCAAGTATAATAGGTGTTACCACTTATAGCAGTCTCATAATTGTATTTCTACAAGACTTAGTCATCTCATAACATGTTTCGGTCATATAATCGTCATCATCATCAGGTAAAATTTAGTAAGAGTGGTTTTATATCTATTCGAAATCTGCTCCCTCTAGGAAAGACAACATGTAGAAGCATACTAAATAATTCCTTGATATAGTAAGATTTATCACAGTATGTAGATATTAGTAAGTAGTGACGAATCTTGTGTAATTTTTGCGTCAAACCATCGTACTGGTTGAAGTAATCATAGAAATATATTAGTCTTATAATAATATATACTAATTAAAGTCGTTAGATATGTTAGACAATCTCAAATGATGTTCCGCTTGAAGGGAACTATATTTATGTGCATACTGGGTTTCGTTATTGTGAAGGTCTTGCTGTTATCTCTCTTTCTTACACACATTTTATATATCACTGAACAATCTCAGGCAGATAATACAATCTTATATTGACAATCATAAATTTACATAAGTTTACTGGTATTTCTACCTCTTTCCAAAATGTGTAGGTAATATAATTTATTATTTTTAAATTCCTATATTACAGGATGTGACCTAAGTTTTTTTTCCGTCTGGTGTATTATTCTATATAATAAGCATTTTTTGAGAACTGTAAACTGTAAATCTATTTAAGTAGCAATATTCGTTACAAATTGGCGATAATTAATGACATTATACATTATATACATTAACAAATCTGTCTAGAAAAATGAAATTAACTGCCATGGTGATTCGTTGCGCTGACCACGCGACACCCTCTATCCGCTAAAGTTAGCACTAATTTCTCCGACAAGCGGCGGTCTCTCGGTCGGTATAGTTCGCTTGCGGACTACAGGCCACGGAGTTAAGTTAATATATTAACAAATTACCAGAAACAAAAAGAAAGGAAGACAGAGAAAGAAAGAGATCAGGAAGTGTTTACTTCCTTCGCACGTCCATGGTTATACCTCTATGGCTCGGTCTCTCGATTTAGGTACAGAAGTGGCCATTCCTCCACGCAGAGGCAGTGGCTATATCGCCATAACGCGATGGTCTGAAATTAGGTAGTGGTACTTCGTCCTCCCACATATTGCACACTATGCATCCTATCTCTTGTACACTTATATGACGACACTGTGCTCTTACTTTCCCTTACTCGCTGCCGACTCATCCTATTTTGTTTGCTACATAGGTCACGGGTTACTGAGTGCAGAGTTACGTTTTATTCAGAGGGCCGGTCTCTCTCTCCCAGCGTTTTCCAGGATTTCCCAGGGTTACTGAATCCTGGGAATCATTTCCCCGGATTCTGAGGCGTAAGAGCATAGGGAAAGGCAGTCGACAGAATTTCGAAGTTGGGGAAGTGGGGTCGATTCTAGATAATGAAGAGAGAAATATCTGTCCTGAAGGTATGATTCAAAGGGGTTATTCTTGTGTACTTCAATACATTTGGAACGCCAATACAAAGAGTTCGATTGTTTGATAAATTCGACTATCTCCAACATACACCTAGAATGGTGAAATTGAAGATCGCAGTACTAAACTTGCCACTAGAAACGACCTTCAGCCGCCTAAATGTAGATCACATACTAACAACTGACACTACCAATCTCCGTTTTAACAACATACTCCCATCTCCATGAGAGTTTTTCGTCACTCATGGTTGTACTATGATTTTGATGCCGATTTAAAGTTGTTTGTATTGTGGGGGGGGGGGTATTTTACGACCCTGACAGTAGCTAGACCAACGGTATATTATTCGTGCATAGATTGGCAAAATGAACGGTGAACAGAAAAAATGTGGAAAGAAGAGGCCGTGCCCTAAATCGGTGTATTTTTCTAGCATATGCCTGAAAGGAACAGAGGAAAATCAAGAAAAACCTCAGGCTGGATAGGCGGTGTCCCGGCGGAGATTCGAACCCAGTACAATCTAGAGCTTTACCTCTACTTTTCCCCTCTGAGTAGCATGATTTCATTATGCGTCCGCATAACCCACTTATTCTACCTATATTTATTTACAGACAAATTGCTTGCCTGTAAACAAATCTTGCGTTATTATTAATATAAGATCTTACATAGAATTATAGCGGCCTCCGTAGTCTAGAGGTAACGTTCCCACCTCATGACTCATAGTACGCGGGTTCAAATACCCGGCGGAGGTCGTCGAATTTTTAAGGGCGGAAAAATTCAGGGAACAAGTCCTCCGGGAGGGACTTTAAGCCGTGGGTCCCGTGTCGTAGCTTTACGGCACGGAAAAGAACCTCATATCTCCAAAGGAGGTCACTGAGCCAAATTAACGGACGTTTCCCGCCCAACAGCAGTCTCTAGTACCTCTGGTAGATGGGGGAAGCATTATAAATACCTCTCAGCTAGTAGAGCCGGTCTCGCTGGCTGGGCGGGACTGATGGTAAGCACCAGTACCGGTAGGATATAGAGACTGGTAGAAATCATAGAGGGAAGCACAAAATGGACAAATACAGGTCTCAGTGCATGGGGAAACCCACCCTCTCCAATAACTAACTAACTAACTACGTAGAATTGTCATAAGCATTGACATATGTATGATTTACTCCGTCCAATAACGACACAAAAAATTCATGAAACTCTGCTTCCCCACTGACTTCCCTTAATGCAGGTAGTTTTGTCGAAATACAAAGAAACTTCACAGTGCATTATGCATATATTTTATTATTATGAAAATATTTGTTTGAGAATACAATCAAAGAATGTGAATAAATAATATTATTGTACTGTATAAACTTACCGTATTCTTTTAGATATCTGTTGTTCATTAATGCAGTGCGTTCAGGCAAAATATTAAGAACGTAACATGATATTGTCACACTGATCATTTTAAAATTTTCCCCTCCATAATATCATCCAAATCGTAAGTGTGAAGTATGTCAGATATATATTTGTCATACTTAAGTTGGAGATCAGTAATTATTTTGTCACGGTAAAGGCCCACGACCCAAGTGGCCACTTTCGACGTCAAGAAGTCTACCAACCATCCCAAACCCGTCAGCTTCACTTCCAGGTCTCTGCAATAAAAATTGAAACATATTTCATTTTTCTTTTTCATCCTTTAATATTTCATATGCTTAGACTTCCAACAGAAAAACAATGTTTTGTTTTGTATGTTCATCACGACTTCCGCATTTCAAATTTTGATAGGTTTGTCAAAAGCGGTTCATCGAAGAAAAGAAAAAAACGTGACGTAAGGAGCAAGACATAAACCTAATTAAGTCCTGTAACGTTTATCTGAAACATATTTCCGCACATCAAAAATATTTGACTGGAAATAGTGTAATATCTCTGTTCTAATAATTATGGCAGAGTTTTATTTGAACATTGTCCATTACGTCAGTGAAATATGAATGTACATAAATAATACACAAATAAGACATTTCGGTGTTGGCTTTCTCTTCATTCTCAGCGCACAAGAGTACAAGCCTCCGAAACACCGTATGCATGTATGTGAAATACGAGTATAGTTTGTATTATCCATCCAATGGACAAATTTCAAAGTTTCCCTTTAGAATACAAGGTCAATATGGTAACTCTTTACAATATACAAGTACGTGTAAATATTTCTTACGTTTTCTCGAAACTCTTCATTTCAGTTATTCAGTATAGAGGAGGTGGGTTTCCCCATGCACCGCGACTAATAGTCTATTGTACGTCCCCCTTTTTAATTTCTACTGTCGCCATACCCTAACGATACTGGTGTCCGCTATCTCCCCTTTCTGCCAGCGAGGTCGGTCCTCTACTGGCATTGGTACCCGATAACTTCCCCATCTACCGGAGGCATTGGAAACTACTTGGGCGGGAAAATTTTGCCTAATTTTGCTCAGAGGTCTCCTAGACACGGGACCCACGGCTTAAAGTCCCTCCCGGAGGACTTGTTCCCTGAATTTTTCCGCCCTTAAAAATTCTACCACCTCCGCCGGGTTTGAACCCACGTAACTTGAGTCATGAGGTGGGAACGTTACCTCTAGACTACGGAGGCCGCGCAAACTCTTCATTTGGTAATGTTTAAGAATGGAGAATATAAGCAACACACTGAAGTTGTTGATTACTCCACGAGACAGGGAATTCCTTGAAAAGGCGAAAAATTGTGGTTTAATCATGGGAGTGGGGCGAGACTAAGGCCTTAGTACTGCGCTCTCAGATGGGCCGATTGTACGAGCCCTCAATAACGGATGAGCATCAAGCATTGGTGAAATGATAAATAGCAGGGACTGCTCTGGAACTGACTCCAGCACCCCGCGATGTAGTTGATAGTTATGAAGAATTTCGTCTTCTGGGATGTGGCGCTGTGTAGATCTTGTGTGAATCGACGTTTCAGAGGAACGTATCGCCTCCATCTTCAGGGTAGAGAAGCCACCGTGATCAGGTGACTGTCTGTAGCCACCTGATTACACTAGTTCCTAGATTTCGGATTTTTCTACCCTGAAGATGGAGGCGATACGTTCCACCAAGGCATCGGTTCACACAAGATCTACACGGCGTCACATCCCAGAAGGCGTAATTCTTCATAGTCACGGCCATGAAAACCTCAAATCTTACATAGGCGGTAGTCATTTAAAATACTTGGTCAAGAAATTCCATCCATACGTTTTGTTTATATACGAAACATTCTGTTATTATTCTGAAATCTACGTGGTCCCTACCCTATACTTTCATATTCTGAAGACACTCAGTTCTAATCTCGGCAACTTTTGCCTGACTGTGGATTTCCGTGGCTTACCTCAGTCCCTTCAGCTGAATGTGGGGTGGTACATTGGAAAAAGTCCAATCATCTCTGTCAGAATCCTTATATAGGCGTACTCCTCATTCATGATCATAAAGTTGATGTTTGTATCCAGGTTATTTTTCATATTTTGCTGAATTTAATCAACAAATTTCGAAGTTCATTACAGCTTAAGACGCGTAGTTACTGTGAAGGTAACGCTACGGGTGGATTTTCATAGAAAAAGAAGGGATATGTTTTTTCTAAGAAATAAAATTTTCATAAAAGTCTGTAATTTTAAGCTCGTGCACTGGATTTCTGCGTCTCTATTCACATCCGACCCGTTTTCCGAGAAAGCTTTATTCTGTTGTAGGTTTAATTTCCATGCTGAAATGAAAACTCAGGTTTTGTCTGCTTGCAAATTTTAGTAGCTGAAAGGAAATTTGTTTTAAAAAGATACAATGGATTCCGCGTTTAGAATCAATAGGCCTTTACCTATTTTGCAAAGCCTTCGGTAGGGCGTTCTGTTATTATGCAGTGTCATCTAATCGCGCATTCAGAAATATCTGTGGAGCACTGTTCAATGAATATAAAGAAGCAAGTTACAGCTGAAATGTTTTGTCATCATCATACGGTATTTTGGACTAGCTCTTTCGATCTGTTCCAGTCCAAAATTTTATAGTTAATTTGCTATTTCAGAGGTCTTCATAAGTGTAATTTTCTCTTATGTTTACTTTAGTGTCTGTTTCTAATTCCATGGAGTGCTGTCTTTCTTGAGAAGGTGTTATTCATCCAGCTGATCAAGATATTCCTTGTCTATTATGGGACCTGGATGTTCATTACCTTGTTCAGAGAGCCCGCCTCTTATACTCACACAATAAATATTTCCAGACACATGTTGATATGGACATTTTTTCTTATCTTTCTATGTGGAACTAGTGCCCAAAATTTGTCCGCGTCTTTTAGTTTCTTTTTTTTTAATTCGCATAGTGGGGGGTGGAGTCCAGCTGGGTCCACTCGGCACGTCGGCCACTCATTGACCTATTGTACCTGCCCCGGGTGATTATGATGATGGATAATTTGGTGGAATGAAGATTGGCAAGGGAAATCGAAGGACTCGAAAAAAACCTGCCCCAGCGCTACTTTGTCCACCACAAATCCCACTTGAGAAGGCCCAGGCTTGAACCCGGGCGGCAGCAGTGGGTGGCCAGCGACTAACCACTTGAGCTATGGGGCGGCCTGCGCCTTTTAGTTACACTCTGTAATAATCTGAAATGATTTTTCCTCTTAGTATTCAGGGATTTCAGACAATGAAGGAACACTGGAACCTACTGGGTCAGTTCATCAGGTATTTATAGAGTTCACTAACATCTATGATTTAGCAACGAGGAAAATATTATAAAATATTTTCATTGAGTATGGTAGACCCATGAAACTAGTTAGGGCGATTAAAATATATTTAAATGAAACCTATAACAGAATCTGTAAGCCTACAGGGAAAAAATAATTTCGTTACCTGTTCAGAATTTTTTTAAAAAGGAGATGCTCTGTAACAAATGCATTTTAACTTGCTTCATAATACACTATTAGGAAGGTCTAAGAAAATCAGAAGGGAAAGAAATTACACATATATCATTCGGGGAAAAAATAAATACCATAAAAGAAAACCACTAGTAAGGAAGTTCGTCTGGAAGTAAACGCAGAGAGAACTAATTACTGTAATTCTATAATATATAATATATATATAATTATATAACTAAAAGCTATAATTCTCCCTGATGATCTATATAGGAGTGAAATTTAATATCTCACATTAAGAGGAAAACATGGATTGAGGGTGTATGAGAACACTGTTCCTAGGAGAACTGTACTTAAGAGAGAGGAAGTACCAAGAGGAGGTGATGGGTGGGACATGTAGCCCGAATTGTAAGGAAGAGAAATAACATATATACAAACATTCAGTAGGAGGTCCTGAGCAAAGGAAGCCACTAGGGAATCCTAGATACAAGTGGGAGAATAATATTAAACTGAAAAGGAGAATAGGAGGTTTGTACTGGATTCATCTTGTTCGGGATAGGTTCCAGTGTTAGGCAGTCTCGAACGTGGTAATGAACCTTAGGGTACAATGAATTGCTTGGAATTTCTTGAGAAGCTGGGCAACTACGAATTTCTCAAGAAGAACTCAGCTGCTTCGAGTTGGTGTAAAGAGGGTAAGGAACTAAGGAAAGAAAAATCGCAAAGAATGAATGAGAAAACTTTGTATCTTAAACGGGAGCATTCTTCCCAAATTCCTTTTTTTCCGTTGCTTATTAGAGGATGTGTATTAATAAAGGTTTTCCTGCCTTCATTTGAGGCCATTGTGCGGATCATACTCACCCGACGCTCATAACTCTGAAGTCATCCAAATACACCTTTTTGTTCGTGAAGTCAATGTGAAAATGTACGTAGAGATCCAGTGGGAAGAACTTGGTACTGAGGCTTCCAGAAGGACCCAGACCCATGAAGTGTGCATGATAGTGATCGTAGAACAGCTGAAATAGCATGAAGTCGGTCATGTTAACTCTAATGGATTATAGCAGTGCTTGTGTACAATAACAAGTATGGTACTCAAGGGACAGCTCGCTTAAAAGCACTAGCCTTAGAGAACGTGCTTATTTGTTGTTTCTTGAGATCATTGAAAGACACACTTGCCATTTTTGAACAGTTAAAATAACTATTTATGGCTTTCCAACAATGGAAAATACACTTTTATGTTTAATCTTAAAACATTAGATGGTTCTTCAAACAAAACATAATATACAAAGGGTAAAACTTTCGTAAATTCCCTGAAGCGTCGGTCTAAGTTTATCTACTATTTTGGACAATTCGAGCACTGAAATCGGGAGATCGAGATTCACTTTTATGTCGATATACACAGGTGTAGGCAGAGATCTTGTCGATATAAGCTTACTGTGTGGAATCTGTACCTTGCAAAAATCTTATGTCAGTGATCATTCGATACATATAGGATATAGAATGAGCAAGAGCTTGTATGCATTGTTTACAAGAAAGTTATGAAATGAAAAAGTAACGGGAAAGCTGAAGGTACCTACTGTTTCTCTGTCTGTCGATTTATTGATGTGCCTGTTTCATCTCCCAAATCGCCTGCAGGATTTTGACATTTTGTTTTTAAGGCAGAATAGTACATTTTCAGTTAGGTGAATTTCATATTGATCCATACCTGTCCCCTATAATCGCTCCTTCACGTGAACCTTTGTAACATTTCTCACAAAGAAATAGGGAAAGAAGCAAAACGGCTCATGAAGCAAGAAAGACCAATTATGTCCTTGTGCATAATTATACTCCCCGCCATAACGACGCATGCGTGTATGAGCTTAAGTTCCACGCATGTTTAACCTCTCAACAACATAGAGATGAATGATCTGCTTCACGCCCCAGCTGATTTACCCTGGGGGAAACATCACCAGTACTCCCTACACAAGAGGTTTTAGATGTAGTTGTAAACAGAAAAACCACCGTCTTCACCGTCATAGGCCCGGCCTATGGCCAGTCACTTTACTGTCTGAACAATCCCTGCTCACAAAAAAAGATTATTATGCAATGTAATCCTGTCTCTTATTATGGTCTGTAACATTTATTCGAAGAATTTTTCTATACTGTGTGTATGCAAATAAACCAAATGAATATACGAGGGTAAGTCAATAGGTAAGTTACAAATGGATATAGAACTTAAACAAATAAGAGTGCTGATTTGAAAAATGCTTTTATTTCTCAGCATAATCTCCCTGTACATCGAGGCACTTGTCCCATCGTTTCACAAACCCCTGAAAACCAGCAGCATAAAATTCTTTTGGCTGCTGTCGGAACCAGGCGTGTTGCTCTTGCATGACAACGCGCGTCCCCATACTGCCAACAAGACAAATGAGACCCTGCGAAATTTCAAGTGGGAAGTCCTCGAGCATCCTCCGTATGGCCCCGACCTTGCTCCAAGCGACTTCCATTTGTTCGGCCCTCTTAAACATCATCTTTCGGCTGAACATTTTCCCGACGATTAAGCTGTAGAAAGGGGAGTCACCGCCTGGTTCCGACAGCAGCCCAAAGAATTTTATGCTACTGGTTTTCAGGGGCTTGTGAAAAGATGGGACAAGTGCCTCAATGTACAGGGAGATCATGTTGATAAATAGAAGCATTTTTCAAATCAGTCCTCCTTATTTTTTAAGTTCTATATCCATTTCTAACTTACTTATTGACTTACCTACGTATTATGTCTTTGTACGCTTTCATTTAGTATCGGTATCACGGATTAGATTTGTAATAAATTGGTTTATATTTGAAACAATTTAACATCAGGTTAAACAGAGGAGAAACATTCGAAAAATATTTGGAAAAGAAAGCTAGGATTATGTATGATAATTTCCTTTCCTGCTATGACATAGACCAGCTGTTGATAGACCTGAATAGTATTTTAGTAGCTTTTAGAAAGACGGTACATTTATGCTGGATTGTTTTACAGATATAGACCTCAATGTTGCAATTTTTGTTTATGATATATACTATATATACCTGTAACAGGCCGTGGAGGCCCATAGTATTGTGAGACGTTGAGGTTCCCACATTTTCTAGACAATCGGCTCACAGACAGTGTATGTACACGTATATCAAATCTGAGATTATCACGATAGTGGATGTTTATATCACAGTCTTCTCAGATGTGACGCTGTGAACTTCGGTAGTTAGACAAAAAGGTTTCGGATAAATCAGCTACATCCACCATTGTTTACTCCAGAGATGGAGACAACGGGTTCCACCTAAACGTTGGTACCTAACTACCAAACTACATGGCGTCACATTCCAGAAACATGATCTGAATAAATCTTGTTTGTTGATTTTTGCTAAAGATTTCTTCGTTCGAGAGCTTACGCATCTGTAATGCATTGCCCTATAATACTTGCTGTATTTTAGCTGCTATTGTAGTTCTTCTATATTCGTCTGAATGCAATAGCCACCTTATCTACTCTAGATCTGTTACGTTTAGAGATGCCTAGAGATTTTGTGTTTGTAATAACATAAAACATTAAAATTAAATAGTCCACCTATATTTACATCTGTTCTCTACATTTTTAAGAACAAAAAACAGAAAATTGATGGAAACACTTCGAGTTGTGACCTTAGGAAACTGATCTTAGGGGAATAAATTGTAAAGGTGTGAAATGGATGGAACTGTGTAACAATAGAATTAAATGGTAAAATTTTGTTATTATGATAAAGGGAAACAGTCATATTTCATGAAATTAAATTCCTTTCCCGACTACTCAAGTACGAGCACTACTTAAGTATTCACTGGGACAGGGTGCGGAATATTTAAAAGAAGTCGCTGAAGAAACACAACTTCGATAAAGTACTTGTTGGCTATGAAGTTTCGACAACTTACATCTATATGCTCAAATCCGAGAGTGCCATAGAAATGCATGAAAGAGGAATTGTCATTAGCAAATGTTGTGCTTCCGACACGTTCCACTGTGTGACAACCTCGAGCAGTTCCTCTGTCAGCCAAAAACTGTCCCCTCCAGGTGACAAGCAACACCTGCACAGACAGCAAACGTATTTATTCAGCTAATTCCCCTCGTTAATAGTGTTATCCTTACCATCTTGTATTGAAATGCTTCTACTGTGTAAGAGACCATACATCGCAACCATAAAAACGTATAAAATGATTGGTAGGTAAGCCTATGTATCGGTGTGTGTATGTGTGTGTGTATGTGTGTATGTATGTGTGTAAACGCCATGAAAATATATGTCGAGGGAACTCTTAAAGCTAAAAATGCATTAGACCCCAAACAATTTGAATTTCCATTATAATTTTTGTGTAACACATGATAAATAATTAGTTTGTATCTTATTCTTATATTTTATCGCATAATTACTTTACCTTTTTCTCGAAACCTTCTCGAATATCTGGTATTTTAATTCTGTCCCTGTATTTTTGCAGAATTACATTTTTGGCATAATCTATTATGGTGTCCACTAGTTTATTTGCATCATCTGTTGTCGTCACGATGTAGTCCCTAGCAACAAGACACAATCTTATAAGATCTACGTACGAGCCATAGGCAACACACAATTGGGCAATGGAGATTCTGTACAAAGTACAGTAGAACTTGGTTATAACGTCATCAAAGGGACCTAAAAATAGTGTCGTTATAAACGAATGTCGTTGTAACCGAAATGGGCACTTCCACAGTAGCCTTATGTTAGTCACGTAAAAATCTACCAAAAACCGAGTTAAAATGTTGCATTTTTTAGTGAAATACGTAGTTAAGTACAGACTAACGTAACATTAACGTGGAATTGTCCAAATGTGTAATATCAAAGACATATTACAGCGCTTTTCACTGACAATACACACCGCACTAATACTGTATATTAAAGGTAGGCCTACTCACCAAATTACAGTAGATTACATCAATTGTTGTGCCTTACTGTACCTAGATACGAGTACAGTAATCAGTTATCTTCATCTGTTTCCTGTTACTTGCCCAATACACACTTTCTAAATTACATTCAATGTCCAAATCAGAGAAATTCAGGAATGAAAATGACGTTACATACGAGGTTGATGCATTTGTGCATGTCGTACTAAGCAAGGTATAAAAACAGTTGCTTTATGAGGAATTAGTTCGTACCATTGAATATCTGACGCAATAGACAAGGTGTCGCAGAAACCGATGTTGCTATAACCAAGTTTTACTGTAGTTGCAACAGATTGCAGATACTTTCATGTAAGCTAAAGTTGTCCCTGTTCACATTAATTAAACAACACGCCATGAAGGCGTATCGGGGAGTGGAAGAGTAGCTCCTCTCTTCTTAACACGGGCACTGGATGGAGGTGAATGGTCAGCTTCATGCCCCAGCCGCTTTACCCCAAGGAAAGATCCCCCGGTACCAAATGGATAAGAGGCTGACTGGATCCCAGAACCAGTCTGGACGCTGTGGAGCAGAGAAGTATCTTTAGCCTCTGCCTGGAATCGAACCAGGCTGTCCAGACCGAAGCCCGTTGGTATACCGACTGATCTCTTCCGACTCCTTCATTTGCATGCTATGATGCTTTTTATTATTATAAATATTATTATTTAAATATTATATAAATTAAGAATTGTACTTTTAAATTAATTATCCTTGAAGTGATATATTTTCATAAATTAATCCATCGCGTAATCAACCAGAAAACTACTTAATTAATTGGCTAACAGATCGGTTAGAGCTTTCAGTTCACTCTGATCCAAGAGATGTCAGTTTTTACATATAATAGTTTCTAACATTTAGAATACCTACTCATATTTGGCCAGTGTTTTATTATTTCCAATAATTTGTGCCAGAGGTCGCTTAGTGAGAGCCAGGTTGACCTTTTCCTCTATTATTGTATTCAAGTGATACGTTAAGCCACGCCATATTTTCCTGAGCACCATTTTTCCTGTGCAATAAAAGGAAAGACATTCATTAATTAGCCTCGGAATTCTGGAGAAATTACTTTCGGTTAACTTTCTGAGAAACTGAGTTCCTTCTTCAAAATACTGCTAATGAACTACGTACTTCAGTTTTCCAGTCACTGATTTAATTTTGCAAATTATTGCAAATTAATTGGGTTATTTTTATTATTAACTTCTGTGTGTGTGTGTGTGTATGTGTATTGTCCTTTCTCGCCACATAATGGATTAACCATTCAAAATATACTTATTTTAATTTTCTCACTGTTAATGCTAATTTTAATTTTTCTTGGAATTATTATTAATTTATTGCCATTATATGGACTGTCTTATTTTGTATTTATTTAAAGTTGTTTTGNTTTAATGTATGCAAAAATTATATATCACATTAGTTAGGTGTAAGCTTAAATACGCGTCCGTTGTCTGGAATTCAATTATGTCAACTGATACCAACAAACTGGAAAGCATCCAGCACAGGTTTGTAGCCCTCTGTTTTAATCATTTCATTCCACAAGTCCATTACTGTCATTCTCTTGTTTGGAGGAGTTAAAATTGCACGCTTTACCCGTGAGGAGGCATCGTTTTGACGCCCTCTTTCTTACTCAAGTTTAACTTGGTTCTAAATTCTGCCCTTCTCTTTTGGAAATTATTGGCCTTCGGGTTCCTGCTCGGTATATCAGAGACTTTGCATTGTTCAGTGTCTGCTCCTCATGTAAAAATTGTCCCTCAGTGAAATGTGCAGCAGCTGCTAATGTTGTTTGCAGGGACGTTGTCGTGTTCGGAGCCAGGAACGTTCTCCTTAATCATATTTTATAATATGTTATAATTGTTATTACTATTATTATTATTACATGTATATATGTATGTATGTTATCCTTTCTCGCCGCATAATGGTATAATCATTGCAAATATTTTACTTTTCTCACCTATTAATGATAACTGTGATTATTCTTGGAATTATCATTATTATTATATAAACTGCCTTATTTTATATTTTGTTCTTAAGATTTTGTTGTTTCTTTCTACATACTCATGCTTTGTAATTGGCCTCTGAGCTGTTAGATTTTCACGTCAATAAACAAGAATTTAATTTAATTTCTTCTTCATTATTATTATTATTAATTTCTACTCGTATGTGTGTATGTACGAGTACATGTATTGTTCTTTCTCGCCAAAAATGGCATAACTATTGGAAATGTACTTATTTTATTTTTCTCGCCTGTTAAACCTAACTTCAATTCTCTTGGAATTGTTATTAATTTATTCCCATTATATAGACTTCATATTTTGTATTTTGCTCTTCAGTTATTTTTGTGTATTTCTATGTACTCATGCTAACTTTGTAATTGGCCACTGTGCTGTTACGTTTGCACGTAAATAAACACGAATTGAATTATTTTTCTAAATTTTTTACGAACTTCACGCTAAGAAGGAGGTTGCTTACAGAGTGTATTAATAGGTGTCGTGTCATTCTTAGAACGAAGAGCAATTATTTACCTAAACAACATTTACAGACTAGTCTTTGTAATACAGACACAATGTGTTTCCTTTGACGTAAGAATTTAATTCTTAAATATTACTTAAATGAACTTCATGCTTCGGTAATAAATGATAAATTATAAATTAATGAATAAGTTATTAATAATTATATGAAGGTCGTTGTCATAGAATTGGTCTAAATTATGATGACCTCTTACGGCGTGTATTGAAATGTGTTGCCTTCCGATGGAACGTGTTCATTATTGTTGATAGCTAATCTTTATATATAACTTTGTTATATTGAAAAGCACTTTGCTCCATGCAATTAGCCAGTTATTTTGTTAGTTAGAGCTTAGTTATAGCTATATGTTGGTAAAATCACATTGGGGTAATTATATGCTTTTAAAATTGGTAGAAACTCTATCCACATTTCGTGCCCATTGGTGATTACCGGATTTATAGCGTACTCATGTCATTATGCAAACAACATCATTTCCCTTCCTTTAATTTGTGATTTGGTTGACTGATTAATACTTTCAGTAACAGATGTTTCTCATATGGAATTGCCCCTATGATATAAAACAAGGTTTTCGTAACAACGAAAAAAGAAAACTGCCTGGCATGTTTCCAAACCTGTCCAAAAATAATCCGCGACACAATTTTCTGTGTTAAATTTATAAACAAAACAGTGCCATTTTAATTTTTTTTTCCTAATGTCCTTGTAATTTTTTTTAAACCTTTATGTGGGGAAACTCTGTTTCATTAGTGAACAAAATTGTATTCCCAATTCAATAAAAGATTACTTCAAATCGCCTACGAAGTGGTTTGTCGGATCATATGTCTTGTGTAAAATATAGAGGATAACACAAAAGATGTTGGTGTCACAACTTTCAGACTGCCATTTTTGAAATCACAGTGATCGGATTCAGTCAAAACAACCTCATTTCCCAGGCCTACGCGTTACTGCATAAAAGGAGGGAATAGTAAAATTGTTCATGTGCTTAATGAGTTAAGCACAATGCCATGAAGACATATGGAGAAGTGGAGATATAGCGCCATCTTTCTTGACCTCAGCACTAGTTGGAGGTGAATGGTAAGCTCGAGACACCTGCCACTTTACCCTTGGGGATATGGCCCCCCGATACCTACTGGATAGGAAGCTGAGTGGGCCCCAGAGTGGATACTTTTTGTTCTGCGTAATTTGTTCTAGCATCAAGATTGTTACTTCTGTTTTTATTTTAGATCTCTACAAAACGCAGCTTCCACTTTCTTTACAAAGAACCTCACCGAATGCCACACTGGTTATAAAAGCGGAGAGCCTGGAATCCTTTTCCTGCTGTGTAACCTACAACATAAGAAGACAACATCTTAAGGTTAGTGCATTCACGAATATTTATTGCTAGTCTGAATAAGAAGGAGACACGGGTTTCATTGTGGGGAAGGATGTTTAAGACTCAAAAAAACACATTTTTTAAAATACTATAAACACTCCAGTAAAGAGAAAGAACTATGGATATACCACGTATATGTCTTCCAGTTTGAAATACAAATATTTTTCAAGATGCGATCTTTGAAATTGCATCTCTTTTTTTCTTAGTCTTCATTTGTGGTAATGCATCCGAATTGTGTTCGAGAGAAATCTGATACGTATTTATTGTGGGATTCAGGTTTCGCGACAGAATATTTTCGTGGTGTGTCTCGGTATTTCCACGCAAACATATATTTAGCACCTAAACATAGGCCAAAACCAATTGCTTCCCAATCCTTTCAAGTCAATCAAACGTATTTTTTAAATTTGCATATATACCATGAACATATAAAAATTCTACCGTCAACGTCACTATTGTTTATTAACATGCAGTGCTATATTGTGACATGCTGAGCTATGAGCCCTCCCCCACCCCCCGCCAGCCGTGATGCCCCGAGCGAAGCCGAAGCGAGCCGATGTTATCCGAGTCCTAGGATCCTGGTCGCTAGGCAACGCGAGTCAACAGCGGTGACGTCACCAAGTGGTAACAGCGGTTACTTCCGCTAGCGTTACTAGCAACACAGCGCCAGGCAACAAGGGTGCCTATTACGTGGCCGTATTGTCCGATCGAGGCTACATAGGGAGCAGCGAAGGCTATTCACAGTCAGTTGTACTGAGTTAGTCAGTCCTGGAGCTACCTACGAGTCAGTCCTCGAGCTACGTTAGTTCCGAGTTAGCCAGCAACCAGTCAGTTGTATTGTGGCATTTGGAGTGTACTATTTGTGATACTGCAGATAGCAGTAATCGTAAATCTGTAATTTGGGTGATTGTAAGTGCGAATGTGAAATAAAATTCGCTTCATCAAATACGGCGTGAACTTATTTGTCGCGATATACGCCCGATACGCGACAATTGGTGTCAGAAGTGGGATCAGTAACGCAAAACACGTTACAATATATTATATATATTGCTAATGGGGTGGGACTAAGTCCCTTGTACTGCGGCTACTTCTGGCCTATTGTACCAGCTCCAGATGATAGGTGAGGGTGATTGTGGAGCAATTGGTGGAATGAAGATTGGCTGGGGAAACCGAAGTACTCGGAGAAATCGCCCCATCGCCACTTTTTCTGGTCAAGTGGGATTTGTGGTGGACAAAGTGGCGCTGGGGCGCGTTTCCTCCAAGTACTTCGGTTACTTCGGTTTCCCCTGCCAATCTTCATTCCACAAAATTCTCCATCATCATAATCACCCGGGGCAGGTACAATAGGCCAATGAGTGGCCGCCGTGCCGAGTGGACCCAGCTGGACTCCACCCCCCACTAAGCGAATTAAAAAAATTGTCCCTTTGAAAATGTGAGAAAGTTGAGACGTTTGGAAACGACACAGGCAAATCAAAAGCACGTTTATAAATTAATAGATTACGTTTGGGGAATGCTTTCTGACATTCAATTCAGAATCTTTTGTCGTCCACTCTACCACGTAAAAAGTAAAGACTAAAACATAGGCATACAAAACTATAATTTTGCCTGTTTTTTGTAAGAGTAGGAACTCAGTCTTTCACACTAAGAGTAAAGCAGAGACTGACGGTATTTGAGAACAGGGTGCTGAGGAAAATATTTTGTCCTAAGAGAGTTGAAATAACAAGAAGCTTCGGGAAACTGCATAATCTGTAGTTTCATAATTCTACTCTTCGCTAGCTTATTATTAGAATGATCAAATGAAAGAAGATACGCTTGGCAGGACATGTAGAACGCACGGGAGGGGTGCTAAAGGAAGTTCATACAAAGAAAACCCTGAAGGGGGACACCACTATGTGCAAATAATGTTAGAATGAATCCTAAAGACAATAATGCGATTGTGATTCATCTGCATCAGGACAGGTACCAGTGGCGAGCTCTTTTGAACACGCCAGTGAACATCCGAGTTAAAAAAAGATGCAGCTCTGTGGAATTAGTAACCCAGTAAATTATAGCTACATCTGAGTTCCACGTGAAATGACGCATACGGAATTAAGTTTAGATAATTCAACCGAGGTACAAAATCGCGATATACGACCCGCAAACACGTTCATATGAAACTTATTCCCCATCGTTTAGTTATAGACCGAACGGATTCGCGTAGCTGCAACGCTTTAGACATGTATTCGGGACGTTCTCGGTTCGAATCTCCGCAAGACGCCGGCTGTCATGACAAAAACAAAGATTATTCGTTGTTTTCCTCTGTCCCTCTAGCCAGATGCCGGGATAGTACCTCGACTAGGCTATGGAAGCTTGATTTCAAATCCTTTCCAATTCATAATTCATCTATTACTACACAATTCAGCGTTGCGTAGTCCAGCTGTAGACGAGAGAAGAACTTATTTGTATTGTTGTGATGGGTGTATGAGTCAGCAGCATGGACTGAGTCAGAGCTGCTTCTTAATGCGGTGGGAGTCGACTATTCGCTTTAAAATTAGAACTCCATGAAGAATAATCTGTATGTAGTAAAAAATATGTGGGTGAAACCCAACGGAAATAACTGAATGGGTTAGGTTGTGAAAACCCAGTTTCGAATCGCCGCTGGTGATCGCTCTCAAGGTCAGCTTGATGTATAACCAGATTTGATACAGGAGCGGTCGTTCTTTTGTACAGCTTACAATCAAATGTCCTGAATGCAAAATGGGTATAAGTACAAAGACGGGTGTGCTTCTCAGTTTGGAGTTCAGCAGTTCCGACAAGTCGGTCACCATAGCCCGGTTTGAGATGGTACGAATACTCAGGAATTGGTATCTCGCTCACGGTATGGGTGTATATACGTAAGTGGTTCCCCGTAAAATGACGTCTTACGTTTTCGATTGATCCAGCCTTCGTCCAAGAATTTCTGACAAATAACTGCGGTATTCAGAGAATTCATTCTTGCAAAATTAATTCTAATTCGGAAAAAGCCTAATCTGTGGAAGCCGAACAAAGGAAGAATTTCGAATTAATCTTCCTTGAAATTCCGCTTCATCTGCCTGAATACTCATTTTACACAAATATATTGATCACAGATATACACGTATTCACTAATGTTCTAAGTCCCATATTCTATCATTAACTACACTTATAGGAAGCAGAGAAATTTTATTACACACGTGTGTTTATTTAATTAAATGTATATTAAAGGTAAAAATGGCAAAGCTATCCTTGTAACAGGCTGTGGAGACCCATAGGGTGGCGAGACGTCTAGGCGCCCACATTTTCTGGACAATCGGCTCACAGATGGCGGTAGAATAGTCAGCCGACGCGCCTGCCCCCTTTATCCCCAGGAATATTCCTGGGACTTTATTCTGTTAGAGGCTGTGTCGACCCCAGGGCCATATGGCGGCTGGAAGGATTAGTCTATTGGAAAATCCAATGACCTCATCGGGAATCGAACCCGCAAACTTACGGCTTGTAGCATATTGCCTCAACTACTCAACTAACTACGCTACCTTGTGCCCCAAATATATAATAAAAAACCGAACCGAAAAAAGTTTCAGTTGGAATTCGATTACAGAGGAAACACTGAAATATCTGTCTTCGAGGAGTGTTTCTGTTGTGTTAGCACTGTCTGTATATACAACATACATCTGCTTTTACCGGTTCTCACGGTCTCTTCGCTTGCAGATTTCTTATATTTTTTTCTACCCTGAAGATGGAGGCGATACGTTCCTCCGAAACGTCGGTTAACACCACATATACACGGTGCCAAATCCCAGAAGACTGCTTTCTTCAGGGATAACTTTTCCTTCTTTTCCTTGAACAGGAATCTTGTTATTTCTTATCTCTTATATTTGAAGTCCAATGTGCGTTTCGCAGGAGAGAAGAATTTCATGACGTCACACAGGAAGAATTTATGTTACTATCTAAAATAAACAACTTTCATTGCAGATCATCAACAATTTTTTGCGTTATTTTGATACCATACTTAAGAATTTGATACTTTCATAGTATAGTAACACAGCAGGCCTACACATTGACAGGTACTTAAGAATTTGATACTTTCATAATATAGTAACACAGCAGGCCTACACATTGACAGGTACTTAAGAATTTGATACTTTCATAATATAGTAACACAGCAGGCCTACACATTGACAGATACTTAAGAATTTGATACTTTCGCAATATAGTAACACAGCAGGCCTACACATTGACAGGTACTTAAGAATTTGATACTTTCGCAATATAGTAACACAGCAGGCCTACACATTGACAGGTACTTAAGAATTTGATACTTTCGTAATATAGTTTACACAGTAGGCCTACACATTGACAGGTACTTAAGAATTTGATACTTTCGTAATATAGTTAACACAGCAGGCCTACACATTGAAAGATACTTAAGAATTTGATACTTTCGTAATATAGTTTACACAGCAGGCCTACACATTGACAGGTTCTTAAGAATTTGATACGTTCGTAATATAATTTACACAGCAGGTCTACACATTGACAGGTACTTAAGAATTTGATACTTTCGTAATATAGTTTACACAGCAGGCCTACACATTGACAGGTACGAGGAGAATGAGGCGGTAAATGTTGGTATCTCCCGAGCATTGAAATGTGAGCAGAAGCAAGATCAGGGGCAGAGTTCTGACTATAACAGGGAAACTGTACCTGTATTCTTTTGGAAGCACTTGTGTACGTTAGTCTCATTTTCTCCACTTTCAGAGAAGAGTTGTTTTCTATTTTCAGAATTGCAAGGCCCGCAGCTGTCAGATTATTTAACGTCAACCTAAAAATATTAAATTAATAACAGCATAAGTTTTAACAGAAAAATAAGTAGAAGACAGGCAACTTCAACGCATACATGCATATATACGTAGTACACATTCATGTAAATTCACACTTCCCACAATTCCAAGGCGATTGTGTTTTATATGCAATAAAATTGTTCTTGAGAAGCTAATATTTCTCAAATATCCAAGATATTTCCCGCCATTTTTTGGAAGCTGTAGGTTATCTACAGGTCTACAGGTCTTATCTACAGCTAGATGAATACAGCATAGGCCTACATGCTCGCACCCTTTTTCTTTAAGGTCCATATTAATATTGTCACGTGTATTAGTGGCTAAGAAGCTGTTTTGGATTGGTGAATCGGTTCAATGAATCTTCGCTAGTCGGAACTACAATTAATTATTACACTATTGCTGATTTACATAATTTACAATCACTCCACAATAATCTTCTCAATCTATCTCCACTAGTCTTCACGATCCGTTTCCTGGCAAAGGATTTATAACACAGGAACTGTAAAAGTCTCGCTAAATTACACACTCCCAATATCGATGTACTACAGCGTATGTAACGTTACGCACTAAGTCTTCTAATTCTTCTTCTAGCCACACTGCTGTTCCCTTGGAATTTCTGAACTCAAGTGAAGTCAATTCAAAGTTAAAGTCTTATTGAGACTGACGGTCAGTCTGCGGTTCAAGACCAGTTACTTATTACTGTTTGACAGTTACGGTCTTGTTATTGTGAGGCTCCCTCTCTTACGAGAGGACGGGTCTGTTTTTGGTTATCCAGAAGTCAATTCCGAATCTGAGTCTGAGTCTCATTTTACGACCGACGGTCAGTCGGCCAGTCTTTCTTGGCATAAAGCACCCGTCTGGGGTGCAAACATAGTCCTTCTAGTGTTGCATGGTGCAGACCACACAGAAAACCTGTGTCACGTGTCAGACTGCGAGTTAATTAGTCTGTTACGAACACTGGGCGTGGCGCGGACGACGAAGAAAACAAAATCTATTGTTGCTTGTTGGACCAGGTTTACAAAACTGTTGCCTGGCAACGCGTTCATCAAATCCGTTACAATATTATCAACATTTATGCTTGGGTTTTCAAAGACCCCTTCCCTTCGCGTTTTCGGACTAATTTTGTTCTACGCATTTCTCATTTCTCCTATTCGTGCTATACACTCCGTCCATCTCATCCCGCTTGATTTAAGCACCTTAATAATATTTGGTGAAAATTATGAATTTTGAAATTCCTCATTATGCAATTCCCTCCCCATTCTTCTACTTACTCCATATGTTTTGGGGGCTTCAGTTAATTTCAGTATTTTCTTACCTGAAATACCCTGATGCTTTGGAGTCGTAGTCTCCATACGACATTCTATCAGATTCGTAGAACCCTTCTACATGTAGCTTCTCCATCAAAAGGTCCAGTTCTGCGCGGCGCTCGGCGAGAACTGTTCGCAGTTTGTTGATCTTGAACACGAAATTGGAAGAACCTTCCATTTTATGAATGTGCCTGCAATTGGAACATCAGTGATAGCAGATCTTCTGTGAGCACGCACATAAAACATAATAGACCTATATTCAGTCTGTACACAAACGCCTTGGGTTCCCTACAGTTTCATCTCCCATTCTTTTTATTGTAAAGAGGTTTCAGTGGCATAGGTACCCGTATGTGAACAGAGATAGTCATCCTATCCAGACATTCTTTTTACAGAAACAGAAGGTTAATATTGGGTATTAAACCATTTCGCTATTTTACCTTATACTGAGCAAGTTTAATTTGTTCAGATCTTCGCATCACATTTCTCCAAGTTACATTTTAATATAATTTTCATATTGATTGCATACCTTTCGGTCCCAGAATTGGTATCTTCTGACGAGGTTTAACGAAGAATTTCGATATAATTCTTTTTATCTTATACATGTAACATATCTTGTCTAACTCGTTTATCACACTAACAATGTTAAGGGTAGAATACCAACTGTGAAGCTTTTCATTACATAATTTTACCAATCTCCCTCTTGTAGATATATTTCTAGATGTATGACCCATTTCAAGGTATATAATATTTCAGTCTTTCGGAAGTCTTTCTGCTTCCATTATTGCATAGAGTCATGGAATGGGCACGGGTTCAAAGACTGTAGTTTCTGAACGAAAGTTATTTTCCATCGTCACTCTTGGGGTTTGTAATTCATTTGAACTACACATGTCCAGTTAAGGAATTTTGCTATTTCTTCCTTCTGCCAGTCTGAAAAAATTAAGTAATTCACTTCGGAGAGCATACAGATTGTAGGATAGCATGTAATGATAACGAAAACAATTCTGACCCGGTAGAGGGGCCTGCCGCTTTTTCCTGTAAAGAACCATCTGTTTTAACTCTTGAAAGAACTCTGTGTTTTGTCCTACGACTCTACTTACGAATTTCATATGATTCGCAGAATAAACAACAGTTGACCTATTGGCCGTAGGAACTGAATTTTTTAATGTTATTTAGATTAATTTCAGATTTCAAAGTGTTAATGTATACCTAAACTGTAGTGGTGGCTTGGAATTCTCTACATTAAAACTTTTTGGAGTTGTCAGGGAAAACTGCAAATGAAACATGCATTGCGTAACTATTCTAACGCTTTCTCGAAACCCATACGACTTACGGAAGAAGTGTAAGGTATTTTAAATATAAGTTTCATCTCTCTCATCTGTGAACTGTGCTACAAACCGAGAGGTAGCGGTTTCGAGTCCCGATGAGATCATTGGATTTTTTCAATTGACCTAATCCTTCCAGCCGCACTATGGCCCTAGGCTCGATTCAACCTCTAACAGAAATGACTACCAGGAATCTTCCTTGGGGGTAAAATGAGGCCGGCGCGTAAGGCTGACAACCTCACCGCCATCTGTGAGCCGATTGTCTAGAAAATGTGGGAGCCTCGACATCTCACAATCCTATGGACCTCTACGGCCTGTTACTTACCTATGTCATCTCTACAACTGTGTTCCAAACATTTTTCTTATCGATAAATACTTTGCAAATTACGCTCGAGATGCGCCCATAAACGCTTGCAGCTCTGTAGGTAAAGTTTTGGGAATCCCCGCGATTCTAACCTCTATAAGAAATGTTTGTAAATGTTCCCAGTATACACTCTTTCAGCGGTTCTCGAGAGGTTCCTACGCACAGGTAGACGGATGGAGGGGTTTTCATTGGTTCTGAGCAGGGATATGAACACGTCTAAATATCGGGCCTCATTTCCTTCCAGTGAGGTTAGACTGCGCTTGGAGCATTCCATTGTAGAGACTTTCTCCGCTAAAAGGAAATATCATCTAAATATGAGTATATCGCTCATTCAGTATATTGGATCTCCGTGTGGAAGGGACACCAATTGAATTCTTCATCACAATTTTCGCATAGATTTGCTTATTTGAGCTTGGTGACACAAGAAATACTTATAGGAGCTAAGGGTGAAACATACTTGAAAAGTAGCCACTTGAAAGGCAAGCATAATGCTGGAGGATAGTATTATCACGTGATAGAGTGACTATAGATGGGCTTTGAATTGGTAATTGAATTTATTGACCACTTACAGATCGTAACTGCAAGCAACTATAGCCCTATCGCTAATTCACACACTCTGCAGTTCACTACAGTACACACTAAGTCTTTTCCAGCCTGCAGTGACTACACTAGTCGTTGCCTGGTAACGTCTTTCAACGGCGTACCTTCCCCCCACTCTTGTTTCCTGAACTATTCCCGTGTCTCAGCCACCAGATTCTAACAGCAACAGCTCACAACAACGGAACCTCAGTTCTCTTTAATAACGCACTAACTCACCAATGAACTCTTCGCTTTACTGTATGTCAATGAAGTGGACTGAACTGAACTCTACTGCACTGCACTCTCTCACTAATTGTCTTGGTTATAACATCTCGGCATGGACCGCACAGAAAACACCGTTCCTCTGTTGCTGTTCAGTATTTGTATTTTAGGAATCTGTTGCCTAGCAGTGGGCATTGCTTACAAGGTCATTACTTAACAACGGGTCTACAGGTGTACACGCTACAGTTTTAAAACATTTCTTAGGGATACAGGTTTTGAGGCAGTGAACTCTTTTGAAATAGCTTAGAACCTTGTCCAGTGGCGGAGAGTTTTAGCAACAATTCTGGGTTTCATTACAAGAAAGTGCGTTACGAACAACTGTAAACTGTACACTGGCGTGTACTTACATTGAAAATTGTTGTTCGTTATCGTGAAAGTAAAGGTCCTCAATAGGAAACGGCTGGACCATAGCTCCTTTTCTACCACCATTATCTGACAGAGTCTGAAAGTTGAAGTTTTTATTGTATTACAGATAAAATTGTGGAGCAAAGATATTTATACTCATGTAATCGTACAAGCTAACATGTTAGGTAATGTATATCAGTTGTTCCCAAACATTTTTGGGCCACACCCCTTCCCCGGTATCATAAACGCATCCCCAGTGGCCTCTCCCATGCCCTGTGAAAAGGATTCTTCAGAACAGCAGTTTGCACAACCCACTAAGAAAGACAGTAACAATAAACTAAGATACCGCATTCAGTAACTTCTTCAATGTTAGTAAATTCTTAATGTGATGAATGGACTTGATAAAGTGGTACCAGTTTCCCAGTGCCTGGGGTGAGGTCACTTCAATTGTAAATAAGCGAACATCGCGCTCGGAGGGGCCCACTTCCAGCCCCCCTATGCTTCCCCTTGCCTCTTACATCGCCCTAGGTAATGCCACCCCGCAGAGGCGGTACAGCCCACTTTGGGAACCACTAGTCTATATCATGTAGGATCAGGATGTGGTGTTGTTTGGTAGTAGCGAAGTTACTCATTAAAGAAAAATGATACCTAGTAATTGACGTAAAATATATATTTTGCGTCATATGCTCGTTTAGTTCGCTTGTATTTCGTAAGTGTAGATATATTATTCAAATTATTTATTTTTAATATATTTTTAATATATATATTTTAATATAATTTTTAATATAAAAATTATTATTTTTAATATACTAATTCCTTGAAAAATGCGAAGTAATTTTGATGTGCTTTATTAACATAACGGAGTAGCAACACATTATAATAATTATTTTGCTTCCAAATTATTAGAAATGCACATGTTAATATAAAATACGGAATACACATTTTCGTGCTGTTTTGATAAACTATACTGTCAAACCAAATTATGGAAAGATTAAATGTAGCTTCTTGGAATAAATTCCTCCCAGTATTTATTAGTCTTCTTGCACAAATTCCGGCATTTTTACCATTTTATGATATGCGTCCTGTTGCAAGTCATGATATCACAAACGGGGCCCTCTACACAACAATAATATCTATGAATGTATGGTAAGGTAAGGTAAAGTTGTCCCCGTGCCTCCTGTACCCATTGCATAGGAGGCTGGGTGGGCCCCAGAGCCGGTCTGGACGACATGGAGAAGTGAAAATTCTTGCCCCCCTCGGGACTCGAACCCCCACCTCTTTGTCGTTCAGCCCGTAGCCAATCGCTCCTTAAAAACTAATACATGTAATTATAAAGTCCAACAATGATGTTTGTTTGGCAGACGCATTCCTTGGTTGCGGTGTTTCGGTTAACTGGCAATTTGTTTAATCGGGATTAGGTACTAATCGATACTAATGTATCACCATTCGCTTAATGTGCAAAGATGTTCCGCTACGTGTTTCGACCTTCAGGAGGTCATCATCAGTCGTAATTAAAAGAATTCTGTCTTAGTTCTTGAATTGTATTTTAATATGGACCAATATTATTACAATTTGTTAAAGTAAATATTAGCATTATAATTCAAGAACTGAAGTGTTGTATTCATGTACCGTTTGTGCTATGTAATTGTAATAATCCTATTTTTACCGTGACCGTTACGGTGATAGCACCGCGGGGTCAAAGTTGTCCCTGTGCTTAACTAATTAAGCACTACGCCATGAAGGCGTATGGTGGAGTGGATATATAGATCCACATTTTCTTGACATCGGCACTAGTTGAATGTGAGTGGCCAGCTTCACGCCCTTGCCGTTTTAAGCCCGTGGAAAGAGCTGTGGGATGCACTTACAAATAGCTTTCAGTTAAGATACACGGTCTGCGACGGCGCAGTAAGTAAACGCAAATTAAATGGTTCCTCTGATGATCCATTACGTGACTGAACACCCAGCATCGTTCATTGGTGACGGAGGATAAAATGCACTGCTTGCGGCAAAATACCTAAAATATGTAGGCTTGCAGATGTGCGCCGACGTCACGGCAAGGAAACTGGACGTGTGTAAGGGGCCTTACTTATTGTTGATGTCATTGTACGCGTGGTTACCGGGTTGCATCGTCTGCCACATTTAGATTCCTATCTTATTTCTACCATTAGAAATTAAAATGTATTATAAACTTTTCTCTTCTTAATATATTGTTGGTTAAAAAGTAGAATTCATCAGCTTTGATTTTAATACACGGATATCCTGACCGATAGCGATGTCATAATGTTGTAGTTACCATTTTTTTTTCTCTTCCTAGAATTACAAACTATAATGTATACTCACTATGAACACAAGTATAAGGGAACGTCTTAGAAAGAAAATATGATTTATTAATTAAAGAAATACGACGCATGTTTCATAAAAATAAAGGACTGAGCTTTAAATTGCTTTCCAGCTTTCTAAACAGACGTTTTCTATATTATTTGAGAATCACATCCATGTTGCTTTCCTGACATATGTTCAAACTCAAAGGGTCATGAAAGTTTTTCAAAACGTCTTCACATCAAACACTTTCCACGACAAAACTTTAACAAGTGAGTCTTACCTCAGTAATAATGTTGTCCACGTCAGCTTCCCCATGAGATAAAGATTCGCCGTCTGAAAGCAATGCTTAGAGTTGGTGCTTGGTGTTCTTACTGTACGAGTAGTTACAAAACTTAAAAGCACTTTCATTTCAGAGCAAGTAGTTTTTCGTGGTTTGATTTTTGACGCTATCAGTATCTAGATTATTCTGTGTCAAATGATTGGATGACCGGTAAATGATGAATTGGAAAGGATTTGGAAGGAAGCGGTGGTAGCTCAATCGAGGTACTTCCCCTAGAATTTTGTGGAGGGACTCAAATCAACAGAGCACCTCCCGAACCGGGTCTAAAGCCTTACCGCTGCACCACCCTGCTGGTGAACCTAGGTAATATTCTTTTTCGCTTCAATTCAAAGCTACAACCCCCGCAAGCTACTTTCCATTATTATATCTCAAAGAGACAGAAACGTGAGAATTGAGCTCCACTTTGGAATACATGCATGTTCCCATCCATTTCTGATTGACGGATATCTCAAACAACGATGAATTTTCCAAAAATTGTTACCCAATCTGTCGCGAACAGTCTTCTTATACAGTCATGACTAGCATGAATAAACACGTTTCTTCTAATTGTAACAACGCCATTATGTGAAATTAAAATAGGATATACGTCATAATCTTCCACAGTGTACCCTCTCAGTTAAAAATTATGATCGAATTCATATAAAAGAATATAAGATTCAAGTACGCCCCCGTCATTTCGGGTCGGTATATGAAGGAGGGAAGATTAATCGTAATATACGTACGTATCTAGCGAGACCACTGTACAACGGTGTAGTTATGTTCAACAAAAACTATTTAGTCGCTAAAGTGCCAAAGAAAAAAGAAGTTGATATTTGAAAAAACATTACTTTTTCCAACTGTTTCTCCAACAAAGCATACAATAAAATGCTAACAAAAATTAGAAATCAGCCGACAACCACCGTTTCATAAATATTGTGCTAACGTATGACATCTTTTTATACTCTTTCCTGTTCCTGCACACAGACCACAAACCTGTCCAGTTTCTTGGAAATAATCCACTCCTGTTAATACTTCGTGATTCTACGAAACAACGCACTACAAACAACAGTATCAGAAGACATACGAAGGCACTGATTCGCGGTATGAAGTGTCTGGACATCGGTGGTTGCACAGCACAAATAATAATGTTACTTTCCAGCGCGGCGAGCGTTCGTATGTGATGTTGAAGTTCTGCGTGTAATGACATAAACTAGTCACTACGCCTGGTTCTGATGTTACCTTGTTATTGAATTATGAACAATAATAGAGCTTTATTTCCGGATTCGTGTCGCAGGCGAAAGTGGTATATAGTAATTAATTTGCATGCCTAATATTTGTAAGCAGGTGTGGATCGTATCAAAATGGTTTTCGTCATTCATGCTAAAAGCTTAATTCCAAGCAGCAGAATCGTTGTTTAAACGCGAGAAGTTATTCACCTAGTCAGGAAGTTCCACTCCTTAAGTCCACATGTACACATTTCTCCTAAGATTCATTCTAATATTATTATTACATCTACTGAAACGTCTCTTAATTTTTATTTTTCCATTAGATTTTGCTGCCAAAGTATTGTAACAAATGACGTTACGATATTTCCAGAAAGATAATTAGGCCACTCTAATTTATAATGAACTCAATTGTATTAGTAATTTACTACGAATCCTGAAAATTATGTAACCTGCTTCTTGGAAATGACATTTCTACAAGAACGCTTGTAATGATTGATTCTTATTTTAATGTGTGGTGATGCTAGAATTTTAAAGAGGCGGATACGAACATCGTACCATTGAGTTTGAGATATCTGACTCAGTGTATCTTCCCAGTATTTTAAGGAAGGAGAGGTGTAATAAAGCATAGTGGTTAGCCGACGAACAATTTTCCTTGCCGCAGGACGCTACTCGTATAAGAGCAACCTCTCTAAGGTAATAAGGAGATAGAAGCGTAGCGAGCATAAAACTTCTTAAAACGAGATCCTAGGAGACCCCAAAATAGTTCAGTTTCAGACGGATTTGTATTTAAAAGAGGCACTTGAAATACCCAGAAACTACCAGTCCCGTGTATATGTAACCCAGGATCTTGCGAATGCCAGAGTAAATAATCAAGTTCTAAAACAGAAGGGTCGAAGTAATTAAGAAACAGAGGAGAATTTTGTTATTTACGTAACTGTCACATATTGTTGTTCTTATGTACCTCCTTTTAGCTTCTAAGGATTAGTCCTTCCAGCCTCTTCCGATTCAGAATTAAATTATGAAAATATGGATCCTGTTTAGATATTTGATAGCGTTCCTTTGATTGGGGATCAGCACTTTGCGAGGCCTCTACTTGTGCTGGACAACAGAGACTTAGAACAACATACTTGTACTTGCATGCCTGGAGTGGGATTCGAATTCACGATTCCAGTGCTCGAGTTGTCAAAATCAGTACGCATCATAATGAGAGTTTTCATTAATTGCAGCATGTTTGATTTAGTGGAATCCGAGTTACATGCAGATAATCTGTACCGGCATGAATATGGTCAAGTTTCTACATTCCTGACGTAAATAAATTCGAGACGACGACAGTGACCGCACGGTTCGTCTTCGCCCGCTCAAACACAGGGATCGTGAGTTCGAATCCCACTCGAGGCATGGATGTCTGTGTGGGTTTATTCAGGGTTTCTATTGTTCTGTATACAGGTAGCGCCCTTGCGAAGGGCTGATACCCCGTCCATGGAGTCCTGCCTACTGTATGCAGGATTAAGAAACCGAAAAATCTGCCAAGGTCCACAAGGGCTGTAGAGCCATAGACAAATCGCATTCGAAGTTCACACCCATTACCAATAGAGCCGACTTGGATGTAGCGTCCGTTGAAGTGTGTTGTGCATTGTGCCATTGCCATATTTCTTTTTAAATTTTGTTAGCAACATCTCTCGACTCCACCATACTACTTTTCCAACCTTTGGAAGTGCTTTCACTAGCGTCCTCGGTCTCGTACGTATCAGATGCATTCACTGAAGCAACTGAATTGCCCAAACTTCACATACGCTGTTCTGAAAACTTGATACATTTTTCTCTGGCTGCTGAACGCTTCAATAACATTGAAGCTATAACGTGCTCTCCAACATGTTGGTTAGTTACTGAAATGGTAAAAGCGGATACAAGCTCGAATTACAGTTCCCAGAATTCGAGTAAATTGCAGTTTACTGTTATTGGAACTCTTATTCCTAAGAAAATCGAAGGTGGGCCCAAATTAATTGTAACGTGCCTTTGGACCGAGCGGTCACTGTGAGTGTCATCATCAGGGCCCGGATTTTGATGACATGTCATCTTTTTTTCCTTGTATCCTATGCGATGCTCTTAAATATATAAATCTTGCATATGAGCTGCTGGTTTCAGAAATGTAAATTTCATAGGTACTTTTTTTTGTCATTTTTTTACATTTTTAGATTTAAGTTAATTTTTTCATTTTGGGGGTAATTTTTTGGTAAATTTTTGGAATTTAAAAGTACTTCTTGTCATTTTTGGCCATTTTAGGGAATTTTTCTTCATATGTTTTCTGAAATGTGAATAATATGGAAGCGAAGTGTTTTTTCTCTTTCTCCTTTAGGTCATTTTTCTGGATTTTTTTCGGTCATTTTATAGGTCATTTTTAAAATATTTTCAGGTCATCAAAATCCGGGCCCTGGTCATCATGTATTAGCACGTTAACCAATTCACGGTCGTTAAGATGGATTGTTTATGTAGCTCCGAGGAGGAACGAAAAGTGTATAGAGAACCTGGTGGGGAATGCCTGGAAGACTGATACCTGGATAATAACAAAATGAACATTATGAAATTAAAACGTAACCAATAGCTGGGTTTGGTATTAGCAATGTTGAATCGCCAAGTTCTGTTTTGCTCGTAACAAGATAATAGGCAAACCACTAACAGAGACGTACGTTTGATAAACACGTAAATAGTTGAAAATGGACAAAGACCAAACAATTCAGAATTGCCTATTCATTTGTTGAATAATTAGCTCGATAGTTGTGTTTATCGGCCTTGAATATAATCTGATAACGGAACCGCTGGAGCCTGCAAACCACGTCAAAACTTTTTTTTATGTTTTCATTTGTTCGTTTTATCTCTGAATATCAGCTCTCGAAGCTTTACATTAGAGCGCGACAGGATGTAGGCGCACACCATTTGGAATGGGGGTAATTAGAATTGTTTGTACCTTAATTCTGCACATTCCATATTCAAAATCTCTTAACTCTTTAAAGCAGAGTGGTTGTAATATGCATCACCTGCTTCAATATTAAAGACTCTGCATTTTGCTCATAGATTGTATTTACGTCTTTCGTCTGGTTCTTAGAATAAATAACGACTACTTCCTACAAAGCATTAACGTTTGATCTTTGTAAGGGTGAAATACAGCGATTTCTGTGAGGTAGATGTTACTAAAAGTACCATGAAGTTACACGTATAAGTTTATTATTGGTACTTTTATATCATATTTATGTTATTGGAGAAACCTGCATAATGAGGACCTTCATAACTTGTAATCTTCTCCAAATATAATTAGAATGATCAAGTCAAGGAGGATGAGGTGGGCAGGGCATGTAACACGAATGGGGGAGACGAGGAATGCGTATAGGATATTGGTGGGAAAGCTAGACGGAAAGAGACCACGGGGAAGACCAAGGCGTAGGTCGGTGGAAAATATTAGAATGGATCTTAGAGAGATAGGATGGGATGGTATGAATTGGATAGATCTGGCTCAGGATAGGGATCAGTGGAGGGCTCTTGTGAACACGGTAATGAACCTTCTGGTTCCATAAAATTCTGGGGAGCTCTTCAGTAGCTGCACATTTGGCGGCTTCTCAAGAAGGGCTCAGCTCCACAAGTGAGTGGTATTTTTGCTATCATGTCTAGCGCAAGTAGAGCTTAACATAGTGACTGGCTCATATCGGTCCGCCGTATATATTGGTTTGTTCTGCAAATGAATTCCACTAAAGGAAAACCAAAAATATTGAGTTTGACCTAATGTTTTTAGAATATTTTAAAGCAATATGTACCTGCTATCCAAATTAAAATAAATTACATTTAGAGCCCAAAATTACTGTTACGTATATTGACGAAGATATGTTGCTGACTACTGTTCGCGATGTTTATTATTTCATTATTACAACAAAAGTTGGTCGGCCAGCAGTGCACATTTCAACACCCGTTTCAACAATCAGTTATGTGTTGTGTGTGTGGAACTTCAGCTCTTTCGGCTGCTAAATTTGTACCTCTTTCCTAGCCTGCAGTGAGACAACATAATTATGAAGAATGCCGTCCTCTGGGATGTGAGACCGTGCAGATCTTGTGTGAGCCGACGTTTCGGAGGAACGTCGGTTTACATAAGATCTACACAGCGCCACATCCCAGAAGACGGTATTCCTCATGGTCACCGCCTTAAAAACCTCAAATCTTTCAACATAATTATGATTGCTGAGTCGCTGGTTTGGAGAGCACTCTTTTTCGAATCGTTATGATGTCAGTTTTAGGATTCGGGTTAGATCACTCTGTAGATGACGAGCTAAAAGATGGACGGCCGGGTTCGAATGACAGCAGGGCCAAGATTTTTCTCTTTTCCGCAACGTCCAGACCAACTCTGAGGTCTACATAGCCCCTTATACAATGGGTACTGGGGGAACTTCTCCGTGGGTAAAGAGGCCCGGGCGTGAGGCTGACCAGTCACCTCCAATCTAATGTCGGTATCAAGAGTGGTGGGACTCTACCTCCACTCCCTCATATGTCTTCATGGCATAGTGCTTAATTAAGCACAGGGACAAATTTATTATTTTCTGACTAGTATTTGGAAAAGTTGAAAGAGAGTGGTTATACAGTGACGTTTGTCACTGTGAACACTGTGTTAACAGGATTCCTGCTTCAGTAGACGGAATTACCTGTGTATTACTGCGCAATGAGAGAAATAATATGAAAATACCAGGAACACACTGTACAGGAAAGACTGTATGAAAATTATTTTGCAATAATGCGCCCGCAGTTATTTGTGGCTAGGGGTATTTCAGTTTAGTGGAATTGCTGACGAACAAAATCCGAGCATGTTAAGAGATAAGCATGCATCACAGTGGAGTGGCGTACAGGACTAGTCAAGAATGGGCAAAATAACTCGGCTACAAAATCAGCTTCCTTGACAGAAAATTTATTCATAAGTTCA